AGGCTCTGCTGTTCATAATGTTGGGATAATGCAGTGGTTTGCAGATGGCCACGTAGCAGTCATAGGACATGGCAGCCAGGAGGAAAAACTCTGTAATTCCAAAGAGAAAGAAAAAGAATAATTGACTTACACAAGCATTGTAGGAAATTTTTCTATCTCCAGTGAGAATGCTCAAGAACCGTGGAATGCAGGCCGTTGTGAAGGAGATTTCTAAGAAGGAGAAATTTCGGAGAAAGAAATACATTGGTGTCTTGAGGCGGGGATCCAGCAGGGTGAGGACAATGATGATGAAGTTTCCCAGCAGGCTCAAGATGTAATTGAAAAATAGAAACAAGAAAATCACAGATTGTAGCAGAGGGTCATCTGTCAGTCCGAGCAAAATGAACTCTATCTCCCCTGACTTGTTCTTCATTTCTCTTTTGTCTTGTCAAATCTATAGAAGAAAGATAATCAAAATCAAGAAAACAATGTTTCTTCCTTTACATGCATGAAATATTTCAAACTTAGAAAATTAATAAAGTACAAATATTTTCCGTCGACAATTTAATGTTCATCAAAATGAAAGTATCTGCAACTCCATCCAACAGGTTTATAAATTTGCTAGGAATCTCTTTGCTTGTTCTAAGTTGAGTAAAGTCTATTTAGCAATTTACAAGAAGTTTATTATTCATTTGAAATGCAGTTGCCAATGTCATTAGTTTTTATCTATGACTCTTGCAAATACTGTATTTCAATACGCTGTTCTAAAAGTTGATATTTTCCAGGTTCTAAATTTACCTAATACCTCACATAACTTGTTACCTTAATTACGTGATAGTTGTAGAAAAAGGATTTATTATCAGGAATCATAGTAACCAGAAATTAAAATATATGGGTGATAATATAAATCTTTCTAAACAGGAAAAATTCCAAAACAAAAAGTTGCATGAGGATCACAGTGACTATCTACCAGTTTGATTTTAATTATGATCAGACCACAATAGTACTATGTGAATAATTGAGAAACTGAAAAATAAATCACAGAAGTTTCAAACATGGGTCATCAGTTAATCCTGCAGTGATAAACACTGGTGCACTTGTGTGTTTTTTCTGTATTTTACCATACCTGAATGTTTAAGTAATCTACAATAAAGTAACAGTGACAACTATAGTACTTCTGAATCACAATAAGAGGAGTGATGTTTCAGGTAGAGTTAAGCAATATTAATTCATATTTTATAAACGATTATGGTAGTATTATAAATAGTATATATTTCTAGAGTTTCTTAAAATATTTAAGCTTCGGTTCTTATATTCTAATATATTACAATCCTACAAGTTAAATGGATGTTGATTATGTATTTGAACATTTAAAAGTCCCCCAACATCTGGAAATTCACTTATATCCTGCACAGCATACAGATGTTAGATGGTATATAATTTTCTCATTAATGGAGTGTGTCAGGTAGAAAGTTATATGCATATAATAATCTATGGTTCATGAAGTATTTAACATATACAATCAAAGTATTTTATTATCATGTGATTAAACTTTTCATCTTTATTCTTAAAAATATATTTACTTTCCTTATATACTGGTGTTTTTACATTTTATTTATTTTTTATTTTTTAATTTTTTTGCAGAACCGGGGATTGAACTCAGACCCTTGTGCTTGCCAGGGAAGCACTTATTCCACTGAGCCATCTCCGTAGCCCCTTTATATTTTAATGTTAATAAATATTACAATAATAGTAAAAAAAGAAATAGGCCTTGTCAAAATCAATTGCCAGAATTTGTTTACTGTGCTTTTATGCAGTGAATCAAAGCTTACCATACTTAATATGTGTATTTGCTTTTTTATGGCTTATGTTATTTGTTTTCACATATTTCCAAGTAACAAAGAGAGAATGATTTGAATACTGTTCTTGTGGAGAGTCCCAAAATCTTATCTTTGATTATGTTTACTCAGGTTGTCTCTTGCTTCTAAATATTTTTTTCTTTTAGTTATCCTTTTTAAAAATTTGCGGTCAGTGCAAGAAATGCATAATGAAAGAAAAATACAGAATGGACTCTATATCTTCTGAAAAATAGAATGAAAAGTAAAAGGAAAGCAAAACAGAACATAGACATCCAAACAAATTAAAATTAGTTAGCTGCACTTAGATTAAAATGTAAGCATTTTTTAAATGAGCAAGATCTAGTGAAAACCATGGAAAAGCATGTAATAAATTTTATACTCACATTAGTGTTAAGACTGCAACTGACATGTTAGACTTGTCAAAATATTAATATTTAAATTTTAGACAATCACAAAACTAATAATAAACTTACAGTGATATATGTATGTAAACATATATCTTCCTATATTATTATTCTCAGAACCTGGTATATATTGTATGGGATAAGTGAAATTAAACCAAAAATCATATTGTATGGCTGGCATTCATAGAATGAAGTCAGATTAAAACAGGCTATTTTCAGAAGCCATGATTTTAAAGTTAGCTTAGAAAAGCTTCTTAAAAAGCTTTCATGCCAAATTATGTAATTCTTTTTCTGAAAATAGTGACATACATATGAAAAAGTCCCTTGGTTTTCTTTGATCACCAAAACTGATGATTAAATCTACTTTAAATTGGCATTTTGTTAGAGCATGTGATCTACAGAAAGAAATGAGCAAAGTCATTTGCAACCTCTGAAATTCAATTTTAGAAGGAAAATGTTCGAATGAATACCTAAAAGAACTAAAGAAGAATGGAATCTCAGTTCATGAACACACTTTTAACGATTCTGTCAGAGAATTCATTCCATTATTCTGGATGTAGTTCTTGATATGAATGAGAACAGGAATGCTCTCTATGACTGAGTATTATTCCATTATATAAATGGAATGATTTATAAGGGAAATTGTATTTTATGTTTCAGAAGTGTTTTCTATGGAGATACACATATAGTCTCTAAATATTTAAAACCATGATACAACAGCAATATATGCATACCCATGTTTATAGAAGGACAGTTTAGAATAGCTAAATCTTGTAAATATCCCAAAGATCTATCAACTAGTATATCAATGAAGAATATGTGGTTCTTTATATAATGGAATAATACTGATCCATAAAGAGCATTCCTCTTGATTTGAATGCGAAGAGGAAGGCCACAGTAATGGGAAGAGGAATGCTCTTTCCAGTGTCACCCACAGACATTTGTATGGGTAAGTAACTTGTCTTGTAGATGGGTCCCAAAAGGAGTCAAAATCATGAGAAAAGTACACAAGGCAAATAAGGCAACATAAGTCAAAGAAGACTAGTACCATAGATATGATTTTGAATATAAGCAATCTTTAGAGATCTCCTTCTTGGCCATCTCTGCTAAAATCATAATATATTGAAAAGAATAGTACCCAAATGTCTTTAGTCCTTTAGCACACTCAGATGAGTGTGAACCAATAAGATATTTTCCTTTACTGAAATCATTACAAAACTGATAAAAATGCTTAATAATACTAAAGCTAGATGTCCCTCATGTTAATTGCTGATTTGTTCTGCTGTAACAATCACACATAACACCTATCCCTACCGCATGCACTGGAGGAGAAAGCAACAGAAATCACAGGATGAGGTCCTATGAATACAGGGGACTAAAACAAATATTTAATTTTATTTAATATCTTATGACATAAAATTTTACCTTTCTGTTTTAAATTGCTATCATATCCTTTTGGTAATTCACCACCACCTACAAATAAAACATAAAAAGTACAAAAACTAATATCTGATAGTTTCACAGCTTTCTTTAACAAATTTTACATAGAAACATGGACAAACTTTTTGAACTTCAATAACTGACTCACCATCCTTGTGAACAGAGTGGAGTCACGTCCATTCCTCTTACCAACTATTGCTTTGCATGCTAGAATATATGACTGACTTAATTGTTGCTCATAAAAAGTACGTTGAGATATTTATTAATGCCATTATACAAGTTTATTAGTTCATACACTTTCAAACAATATTCTACAATTCATTTGTCTAAGGCACTAACAACCTTGCGAAGCAGGATGTATAGTGCAATATGACAACTAATCCTTAGAGTGTGGGGACATGTGCCCTTGCTCTCTTATGGGAGACAATCTAAAATAAACAAAGATTTCTCAGGGTAAATCAGATCCAGGAGCATAATTTCTAAGGGATTTTGTATTTTATGTTCCAGAAGTGTTTTCTGTGGAGATACACACATAGTCTCTAAATATTAAAACCATCATACAACAGCAATGTATGCATACTCATGTTTATAGAAGGACAGTTTAGAATAGCTAAATCTTGTAAATATCCCAAAGATCTATCAACTAGTAAATTGATGAAGAATATGTGGTTCTTTTACATAATGGAATAATACTCAGCCATAAAGAGGAATATACTTGAGATACCTCTAGACAAATGGGTGCAACATGAGAAAGTACTCTTAAGTGAAATAGATCAGAAACACTTTGTGAATACTGTGCAGTTTCTCTGATGTGAGAAACTGAAACTGTAAATGAAGAGCAAAATGTATACTATATATTGCAAAATAGGAAGAAAATGTTCAAATGGTAAAGAGAATAGAAAGGAGATGGAGAAAAGGAAGGAAGGGAAAATAAAGAAGAGAAGAAGGAAAAAAATGAAATCAAAGCTTTGGTAAACAGGGAGGGGAAAAGGAGTTGAATAGAGGGGAGGAGAATCAAGGTATATTGTGTACAGGTACAAATTCCCTATGGCACAATCATATATATGTATATATATATGATTTACATATGTAATATATAACATATAATATATAAACTATAAAATATAAAATATGATATAAATATATAAATAAAATGTAATATAAACATATAATGAATACATGTAATATATATAAAATCTATCTATATTTTTACATATATATATGCCTAATGTACCAATATACCAGTATACCTATATGTACCAATGTAGCAATTGTCAATATGAACCAATACATGCCTAATTAATTAAAAAGTATGACTTTAGAAAATTAAGTAGAGAATGCTATAATATTGAGTTACCTAACATACAACTACCTTTTATAAACACAGATACATATTTCAAGAATTAGAAGGAAAAAGTAGAAAGAATATTTTTAGTGTGTATCAAAAGGGAGTGTATAAAGTGGAAAAAACCTCTGCTGTTAGACACAGTGACCTATACTAAATTTAGTTTGCTTTCTTTCGATTTATTCACTTCACAATACAGGTTTTCAAACTCAAAGAAAATTAGAAATTTGCTTATATCTGCATAGTTCTGCTTTGTGAGGACGGGATATCGTTTATTTATTTACTCCATACTTTGTTGTTGCATTTTTATTTTTTAATTTAATTTTATTTTATTTTGAAGAGTAAAAGAAAAAGAAAAAGCAGATAGTAGAAACAATGACAGAATAAGGGTAACATAAACATTACGTATGTCACGGGTTTTCCTAACAAGACAGAAACAAAGACAGAAACAGGGTAACATACAAGATTTCTTATGTTATAGATTTTAAAAACAACAATAACACATTAAAGATGGTTGTTTTATTACCTACTTTTATCATAAAGTCTGTTACTCAGATTAAAATACATAGCTATTCAAGATTAGACAAATAACTGAATATTAACACTTGCTCTGCGAACTAAGCAACTATACTGAGGAAAGCATTGTGCAACACAAATCCATGGTTGAATACCTCTCTTCTTGGTTTTCTAAATGTGTACCATTTCTAATGCCTTACCAATTGTTTTTATACTCTCTTTAAACTAATTATTGAAAAAGTGAAAAAAGACAAGAAGAATTAAGGATTTTTGTGTTCATTTTATATCTTGCCTCTTTCCCAATTGGTTTTTGAGTTATAGGAGACTCATAATAGATTTCAGTGAAGTTCATTGGGTCTTCTATGTAAAGAATCAAGTTCTCTGTGAATAAGGTTAGCTTGACTTCTTTGCTTACATGCACTCTCTTGTGCCTCTTCTTGCATGATTGCTCTGGTTAAACTTTTGAGTACTGAATTGAACAGGAACAACAGGGTTACACATATTAGTCTTATTTCTGATTTTCACAAATATTTTTCTATTTTTCCACATTTAGTATGATACCATCAATGGATTTATCATAAAGTCTTTAATCATTTTGAGATAATACCTTTATATGCCTATTTTTGTGAAAGTTCATGTAACGTAGAATGAATTTTATCTAAGGATTTTTCTGTATGTATATGGGTGAAATTGTGAGTTTTGTCTCTGTTTTTGTTTTTGTTTGTTTTTGGTGTGCTTCGCTTGATGTGGTATATTACATTTGTTAATTTAAGTATGTTGGACTATCCTTAAATTCCTATAATGAAGCCAACTTGGTCATGATATGTAATCTTTTTCAATATTGATTGCTGTTATGTTTTAGGACCAAAATCCTCCACAGTGCTGCATGTTTTTGGAAACTGATTAAATTGTGGGTTAGGGTTACACTTTATTAATGAATGTATTTATTCATTCAAGGGTTTAATCACTGGAAAGTGATGCTACAAGGTGAGGTCTGGTTGGAGGTAGATCACTAGGATTATGACATACAGGAGGATATATTTTTACCCAGGCTTCCTCTCTCTCTCTCTCTCTCTCTCTCTCTCTCTCTCTCTCTCTCTCTCTCTGTCACTCTTATTGCCCCTTCTTGTCTCTCTGCTTTGTGACTGCCATGCGTTAAACAGCTTTATGGTGCAGTATCGCTTCATCATGACACTTTTTTCTTGGAGACAATCTACCATGAACTATATCCAAAATAAACTTCTCCCTTTTGAGTTCTGGGAAAATAGCAAATACACATTTTGGTGCCAGAGAAAAGAAATTACTGCGACTGTAACAGACCATGTGATGATAAGCCTTTGGAACTGCTTTGTAAAAGGAGTTTGTATAAATTTGGATTTAATATTTGGAGAAACCTTAATGAGACAAGCTAAGCTTGAGAAGCAATACTGAACAGAACTCATAACACCAGGATGCTAATAGAAATGCAGACATAACAGGCAGTGCCAAAGTATTTCAGTTGGGCATAGGACTCTCTTGGTAGTTGCACTGGAGGTTCACTTGTGTTATATGCTTGCAGAAAATTTATCTTCCTTTTGTACATTCCCTGAGCCCTTGTGGGAGACTGAGATAAAGGGTGATAGAAGAAGTAGTCTGGTAGGGGAAACTTCAGATCTGCTTAGTTGGAAGCCTAACATACTTCAAATGGAGTGATCAGATACCTTTTAATTATAATAGAAGTATAGTATGCACGTTAGAAGTCAGATACAAAATAGTGGGACAGGTCAGTGCCATATAGACAAAGTAAAAGGAGAAGTCAGTTGTATAAAAGTTCCTCATACTGTATAATTAGGTAATTACTACTGTATTTTGTTATTTATGTTACTTATTACTGTTTCTTTAAAACATTACTTTTAACATAAGGCACGATCCTAACCCCAGAGTTTTGATCAGCAGTTTGGAACATTTTCTATACAAAAAAAGTGTATGTTACTTTCTTTAAATGGTAATTATTATTCCAAATGCTGGACATTGATTAGTTTGTTTGATTAATTCAACTATATGACATTGACCATTATATGGGAGAAACTACATATATGAAATAGCTTAGCAGACAACAGTGATTTGAGACCCAATAGGTAGAATAGATTCAAAACTAGACATCCCCAATATTTTATGTGGACATGAACTATGTCAATGAATTGAAACTTTATTTAAGGAAGGAAAAAAATTAAAATTTATTATTCTATAATTTAAATAAAACTACTAAAAGCTTTTTGGAATTATTTATCTCTTCAACTGAAGACGTTTCTCAAATATCTTCAATAATAGTAGCAATAGAGTTAAAATAGGAAAGAAATATAGGTTTAATAACAATGAGACCAAAACCAGAGAGATTAATATCATTAAAGTTTGCAAGAGATTCACATAAAATAAATGTCATGATTAAGTCCTGTATTTCACATTGTTTTATACATATTTTCCCCTCTATTTTTGACACTTGAGGTGTTCCTGTTAAAGACATCAGTATATCTGATTCTTATATGGGAGTAGTAGGAGTTGGAATAGCTGTGGTATGTTAGCAAAAATTGGTAGATGACAGAATGATTACTTTATAAAAAATAACATCTTTCTCATTTTTTATAATTTTCAGTGCAACTAAATTTTACACCAAGGGAAATGTGTAAGACTGAATCAATGGTAAAAAAGATGATTATATCTGAGAAGATATTTTAAAGGTAAGAGGGAATATTTGGAGAGAGAAATACCTTCTTAAGAACTTCCTGCCTATCACTTCAACATGGTGGATACCAAACTATTATTTTTAAGTTTTTGTTATCCATACTTGTTCTACAAAGTAAAAAAGTATAGTGTGATATTTCCATACCATGTATTAATCATATTTAGCCACCTTTCTCCCTCTAAACCTTTCTAATGTCTGTTTATCACTATTCTACTTTTAGGTTAATTTTTTTAATTATCATATATAAGAAAAAGCAAGAGAAACTTGTTTTCCTGTGTCTGACTTTTATCACTCAGTATTATTCCCTTCAGTTCCACCCACTTT